TAGCAGCAGCAGTAGCAGTAGAAGTAGTAGTAGTAGTAGAAGAAATAGTAGCAGTAGTAGTAGCAGCAGCAGCTTCATTAGTGGCCATAGTAGTCGTCGCAGTAACAGCAGTGGATTTGGGGCTTGAGAAAAACGACTCTTCGTTTTGGTGACTATCATGATTTCGTTCTTAGTTGTATGCCGGGAGACTGGAGAGTATCATGAATAAAGATGAGGGCCAGCAGCCTTGACTGATTGAGTTAACGGGGCCGGGGAGGCGCTGTGTAATGTTCCCGCCATCTAGCGCGGGTCACTCCAACTCCCGTCTTCTCTTCATTCTGTCTTCTGGTCGTCTCATGATTGGAAATCAATGTTGAGTAGAGAGAGGAGACAGACGTCTGTTTGGAGAGAAATGGGGAGAGAACAGATGGTGAGACAGATATGGGTTGGTAGATACATGGAGAGATAGAGAGCGGTGGAGAGAGATGGAGAGAGAACAGAATGTGAGGTGGATGCATGAAGAGATAGAGAGCGGTGGAGAGAGATGGAGAAAGTACAGATGGTGAGATAGGTATGGGAAGGTAGATACACCGAGAGATAGAGAGCGGTGGAGAGAAAACAGATGATGAGGTAGATGCATGGCAGATAGAGAGGAGCGGAGAGAAATGGAGGGAGAATAGATGGTGAGATCGATATGGGTAGGTAAATGCATGGAGAGATAGAGAGCGGTGGAGAGACGTGGAGAAAGAGAGGGGCGGGGAGAAATGGAGGGAGAATAGATGGTGAGATCGATATGGGTAGGTGAATACATGGAGAGTTAGAGAGCGGTGGAGAGACGTGGAGAATGAACAGGATGGTGGGGCAGATAAGATTGATAGTTACATGGAAAGATAAACAGAGGATGGAGAGAGATGGAGAGAGAACAGATAGTGAGATAGGTTAGGTAGATAAATACATGGAGAAATAGTGGGAGGGAGGAGGGTACGGAAGAGAGAATGGTGTTAAATTTGAGGAATATATAGATAGGCACACACACACCCGCGCTCACAAGGTTGGGGG